GTTTTGTCGGTCTGTTTCATCTGAAAGGGAAGCGTTTGTTATATTCGGGGTCACGTCCCTCAGAATGCGCCGTGAGTAAAGTTTACTGCGATGTGTTTACATAGTTATCGTGTGTGTGTGTGTGTGTGTGTGTGTCACTGCATGACTTTCATCAGACGTGTGTACAATATATGGCGAGAGTGTGTTTGGATAAATATTGCACACTTTTGCTTTCTCGCGTGCTTTCGATTGCTCTTTTCCTCACGCTTTCTTGCCCGTCCCCCCTGTGCTCCTTCTTGCCCGTGCCCCCTGTTGTGCTCCTTCTTGCCCGTGCCCCCTGTTGTGCTCCTTCTTGCCCGTGCCCCCTGTTGTGCTCCTTCTTGCCCGTGCCCCCTGTTGTGCTCCTTCTTGCCCGTGCCCCCTGTTGTGCTCCTTCTTGCCCGTGCCCCCTGTTGTGCTCCTTCTTGCCCGTGCCCCCTGTTGTGCTCCTTCTTGCCCGTGCCCCCTGTTGTGCTCCTTCTTGCCCGTGCCCCCTGTTGTGCTCCTTCTTGCCCGTGCCCCCTGTTGTGCTCCTTCTTGCCCGTGCCCCCTGTTGTGCTCCTTCTTGCCCGTGCCCCCTGTTGTGCTCCTTCTTGCCCGTGCCCCCTGTTGTGCTCCTTCTTGCCCGTGCCCCCTGTTGTGCTCCTTCTTGCCCGTGCCCCCTGTTGTGCTCCTTCTTGCCCGTGCCCCCTGTTGTGCTCCTTCTTGCCCGTGCCCCCTGTTGTGCTCCTTCTTGCCCGTGCCCCCTGTTGTGCTCCTTCTTGCCCGTGCCCCCTGTTGTGCTCCTTCTTGCCCGTGCCCCCTGTTGTGCTCCTTCTTGCCCGTGCCCCCTGTTGTGCTCCTTCTTGCCCGTGCCCCCTGTTGTGCTCCTTCTTGCCCGTGCCCCCTGTTGTGCTCCTTCTTGCCCGTGCCCCCTGTTGTGCTCCTTCTTGCCCGTGCCCCCTGTTGTGCTCCTTCTTGCCCGTGCCCCCTGTTGTGCTCCTTCTTGCCCGTGCCCCCTGTTGTGCTCCTTCTTGCCCGTGCCCCCTGTTGTGCTCCTTCTTGCCCGTGCCCCCTGTTGTGCTCCTTCTTGCCCGTGCCCCCTGTTGTGCTCCTTCTTGCCCGTGCCCCCTGTTGTGCTCCTTCTTGCCCGTGCCCCCTGTTGTGCTCCTTCTTGCCCGTGCCCCCTGTTGCGCTCCTTCTTGCCCGTGCCCCCTGTTGTGCTTTTCTCTTGCCTTCTTTCATTCTATTTTCCTCTCGGTCTCTTTTGTACTTGGTCTTCGCTCTTTGCTGTGTATATTTATATCTATCCATTATCCCCAATGTACCCGGCTGTCAGTAGATGCGTGCAGTGAAGAAAACTATCCTCCCCCGGCCCCATAGCGTGTCTCCAGTGTTCTGAGGTTACACGTTACATGGTCCAGTCGTGGTCTCCATCGTGAACATTGGGTCATGTATGGGCACCGCGATGTCACGACAGGTTTGTCCGTGGTTACGATGTCTTTACATGAGGAGTGTGTTGTGTGCAGGTCTCGACGTTCTCACGACTGCGCTCATCACCACCTGTACAGATGTGTGACCTCCTTCCTGCCCTCGGGTTCCTCTCAGCTGCCTGTGGTCCCCGGTGTACATCGGAGTCTCTGACTTTCCGCACAGCGTGGATGACAGACAGCTGCTTGGTGCAGATTGTGTTTTATGGTGGATGTAGAACCCAGAGTAGGGATCCAGAGGGATGCTGGAATTGCTCTTTTCACCTGTGTTAATACCAATCTTCTCCTCCTGACATGTGATATGCCTTTCCATGGGCAGAATAGAGGTTCCCGCCTATTGAGGGCTTGTAATTCAATTTTGGATGGATGGCAATGGGTCCAATTGAAGGATCACCTTTTTTGTATCTCTTTTATTGTTATGTATCTCTTTCTGCAGTGCTCTGTGCTGGCAGAGATAAGTAACAGCCACACGCCCCTCACAGCGTTGCAAAGGGGACAGGGGTTGTGTCTGAGTAGGTCTGTTACTGAGTGCTGATTACTGAGTGCACTAGGTGTAACTCTGGTGCCTGTTTGACTGCACAATCACACCCCGTACAGCCATCTGACTGCATATGTATTTGGCCCATCTGCTCACTGATCACTGGGGCAGACTGAGGAAATGCTTCCTCCTGCTTGCAGCAGACTGATCACTGGGGGAAGGGAGACTGAGGAAATGCTTCCTCCTGCCTGCGGCACACTGGCGGAATCATCTCAGTCTAAGCAAAAACCTTGAGCACCTTGAAGAACATGAGTGAGTGTCGGGCTCCATCAGCTGACGGTCATATGTTATACATCTGGCATGAAGTCTGAATCACTGACATTTCTGCCGGCTTGTGATGAGGCCGCGCTCCTTCTACTGCCGGCAGGACAGAACGCAGGATTGTTTTGCTTAATCGTTGAGCCATCACATTGTCTTGGCAATGAGGTAATCGCATCGAAGCTCGAGTCCCCGCGGTTGCTTGGGTTTTACTTTGCCTGTCATGAGAATGACACAAATCCCTGTTCCCACCATCCCTGTGCTGAGTTCCCGGGTCTGTACACCCGCTGTGCCCATTATGAGGGGCTCCCACAGTCCACCAGCAGGACAGAGCAGGTTGTCTCGCACAACAGGTCTTCGCTGCCCTTCAGGTGACCCGCCGTCGTTTACCTTCAGGAGGTGTCATTGTCCTCCCAGTGATAACGCAGAGCCTTTTGTTTGTCACGTAAACACTTTGGAGCCGTCGCTTGGCCGGCAGACCTGTGACCACGCCGCGGGGGTCACCGCCGGTCAAAGATCAAAGCAGCGTGACGCATTTTTTCCTTTTTCTTTTCCGGACCGACGGGTTTTGTCACTTTGTGTCATTTGGTGTTAAAAATAAACCCGACTTGGGGGATTCTTCCTCAGCGGTGACATCACCTTTGTTGG